GAAGACAGAGAAGTTTCCTTTCAAGAAAAGGACCAGTCTGACAGAAATTAAGCCCTTCTGCAATAAGCTGTCAATTGAATGGAAGACCATATAAAAAAAATCAAGCTATTATTGATGAGGTAGCAATAGGGGCTCTGCCTCCTGAGGAGGTGAAGGGTGTTAGTTATTACTGACGCAGTCTGCGATGTAGCCAGGCTAATTTAAAAGAAATTCCCATTAGTTTAGTAACTCTTATTTGTGTTGTCATATAGGATGCTAGCTCTTGGTGACAAATAGCCTTAGTTCCCACCACCCCATCTACTGGGTTTTTTCCCCATGAAAAAAAATGGCATTAGATAGAGGCTGCTGCCCATAACATGCTTGTTCCATAACATTGGCTTTACCATCTGTCACCAATCACAAGGTAGTAATAATAATATTAAAAAAAAGCAAGCAAGCAGATGGAAAAGGTAACTGTAAGAGTAAGGACCACCTTTTCTTATTTAGAGCAAGTTTTTAATGCAGTGGGTCTAGTGCAAAGGAACAAAACTTTGTTTCAGTCTTTCAGTGACCTCTACTTTCAGAGGGACTTCTAGTTTCCACACCAATTACAGAACAGGGTAGACCATGGACTCACTTTTATCAATTGTACAACCATTCTACAAAAAACAGGCAATGCCATGTTCTCCCTTTTGTTTCCAAAGGTTAATAAGCTCCAGTGAGACTTTTATAAATATGAAAAATATGCTTGCAATTTTGCACACTAAGAGATTTTTAATGATGTGTTCAAATAAACTTCAGAAACCCTGAATTACAGCTACTGTGTGCTACTGCTGCTTCAGCTGCTTACTCCTTATACCTTTGCTCTTATCTGCAAACAAAGACCAAATTCTGTCTGAGGGTTGTATTTGGCTTACATCCACCCAGCACTCATTACACTCAAATGTGATCATGGTTTTGTACAGTCACACTTGTTTGGAATACTGAAAATAATTGCCAAGGTACATGCTCCTGTTTGTTAACAGTGATGGGAGTTGCTAGTTTGTAGCAAAACTGCTTATTGTACAAGACTGCTTCAAGGATGGGAGCACAACCAGAAATCTGAACAAGAGGGATGTTATACACCTGAAAAATACAATCCCCTGGCTTTCTCCCTTACTGGTCAGCACCTCCTTTTGTTCGCCGGGTAAGTCAGTCAGCTCTCCAGCAGGTATTCATTTTCAGGCTACACAATCTTGGTGCAGCTTGTCACGCTGTTCCCTTAGGTAGCTAACAATATCAATTCCACCTAGGTTGGCCCAGGTTTCTATTAAAACAATCTTCTATAATAAGTCTATCAATCAACTCTTTCTTGCACAATGCAAAAAGTCTACCATATTTTCAAGGTGTCTTTAAAGATGTCTATATAAAAGACCTGCAATAAAATAGTAGGTCTTAATTGAGACACTTGAAAAATAAAGCACTCTTCAGCAGTCTGCACACTAGAATTCTCGGGCTGACAGGCACAAATATTTTTAAATTAGTTCCCCCACATCTTATCAGAATTTATACTCTATTATTCTATCTATCTCAAACACTGATTTTTGTCTTGGCCTCAGGAATGACTTAGTTTAAACATGAAGTAAAAGCAAGCCCCCTCTTTACTCCCAACACAGTTTCTTAGGAAATCATAACAGTTTAACAACTTCCAAATATGACAGAAGCTACTTGCTTTTCAAAAATGGCTTTTTTTTTTTCTTCAAGGTTTCACTAAGCCTTTTCCTCTTGTTCAGCAATGCACCTGCACAGCACCTTCTTGCCAAATCCTGCTACTAGAGAGAGCAAAGTGAATCCTGCAGAGTAAGTCTGTGAAGGTGCTGTGTGTAAAATAATTTTTTTTCCACACACCAAATACTAACAGCATAAATTTAATGTAAATGTTAATTCAAGTACAGAAGTCAAAACACATGATTTCAACATTAAAAATTGTAACACTTAAAACAACTATGATGTAGCTAATATAAAATGCAAATAAAATTAAACTGCTATAACTGCACCTAAATTAACACCAAAAAAGACAATTTAATATGGTGATGAAACATGTTGAACTAAAATATGTAATGGACCACAATAGCTGACTGCTTTTAAGAAAAATTATTCAACTTAAATCTTTCCATTGCATTGTTTTCTGTCTACATAATATTCCTTTTTTACAAACATGTTTCAGACAAAACAGTTTACAACCAATACTTGCACAGGTGAGGCCCTTAGACTCTTAACATATGCCACTTGGCCCATTCCTTAACCAGGAACTGAAATTTAAAAGGAAGGATGATCTACTGTATTTATTAGTTTTGGATTTTAAAAAAGAAGAGAGACAGACCTTTATTTTTTGTTATTCAATAAATAAAGCACTTTACTGAGAAATGCTAAAGGGCTTACTCAAGGTGAATTACATATACCCGATTTAAAAAATTTAAAACTATTTTCAATTTAATGCTAAACAAGGTTTTCTAAGAAGAACATGGCTTGATTAGAAAGTGAGCAAGCTGCTGTTCAACATGGCTACCACAGGCAAGTAGAAGTGCTGGTTACAAGGGATAGCCAGGGTAGGAGTAAGGCCTCTGAACATGGAAGCACACACCTGTCCCAGCAGAGAGGTGCTAACAACAGGAAATGCAACTTTGTAAGCTGTACATAAAAGTACATGTAATTTGTATGTCTCAAGATTTTTTTTTGCCCATTTTTGTCTAAAAGAATTATCTAAAGTATTGAACCTCAATGTTATGACTAGAGCAATATATCTCATGTAGCCTGATGGTACGTTGACATAAAAGCCCTTCAAAATATCACTCCTCCATTGGTGTAATGATATACCAGAAGCAAAGATTTTATTGGACATGTTCTTCCTATAAAATTTTGCATTGTTACAGAAAGCGACATGTCTGAGTATTTTATTTAAGTTTCATATTATGTATGTTTATGTAAGAAAAGGCAGGGTTGCCAGGGTGGTGTGGTTTTGGTTTGTGTTTTTGTTTGTTTTTTTTTAATATTTGCTTAAGATTTAGTACTTACAACAGAAGCTGTAAAAATTCTGCATGAAATTCAATATAGAAGAGTAGGAATTGTAGCAAATTATTTCAACACTAAAAACAAGCTACCATTGTATTATAAACTATTGCAGATAATAAAAATCTTTTAAACAAATTATCTTTTCAAAACAAATTTAATCAAGCTAACCAAAACAGTTTCAACATTCAATTTCACTAATCTTTAAAGTTAAATGTTTAATACACACATGTACTTTGAAGAATGAATCATCAATAAACGTCCTGTGAATTTCCAGTAATTATGTATCAGTGTGGTGGTCTTTTTTTTTTTCTTTCATGGCAAGATCCAAAGCAACACATTCCAAGTTTTCTTCTTCAGGGTAATTCAAGCCAAATAGGGTGTACAGTTGGCTGCAGAAAAAAAGAGGGAAATGAGGGGAAGAAAGAGATTTTTGATTTCAGCAAACATACCGCATTACCTACTCCAAGGTGGACTGGACTTAACCATTAAGGAGCTTAAGACAATGGTGTAATGAAAACTTTCAGAGTCTTATGCCAATGCTGTATTCTTCCCTTTCCTCTACACCCTTAATATTAACTCCAATCATTAAGAAATTATTTAATCAACAGTTCAAGCAACATCAGAAATGAAAAATGAGAACTTATTAATCTCACAGGGGCTGGGGGGAGAGGGAGGGGCCAGACTCTTCCTAAAAGCCTTACACCTAAAAAAAATTTCTTCAGTACTGAACATAAGTCTTTTCTCAGTCTATATATATATACACACACACACACTTTAACCGAACTTTACAATAATGACCCTTTGTTTCACCTCCACTGAACACAAAATATTAATGAAGACAGCTTTAATGTGCATAGTAGATCACTGTTCTGAGTTGCATTAATTTGAAAGACTGCATCTATGTTACATATAATATATGTAACATATTGCATATTTAACACTTTAGATCAGAGTGTACTATTAACAAAGTACTAAGTTCTTCCAGACATACACTGCATAAACAAAACCCAACTTGATGGTGGTCATCAGTGGACTAGAAAAGGGCACCACATTCCTATTCTGAAGTGCATGACTCTACCAAAGTAGAGTTAAGCCAGTCAATTTATTTCATGGGTAAAGATAGCCCAACATTGTTGCATCTTTCTTACTCCAAGTTCTCCTACACAAGCCCAGATTTACAAATTTATGTTCCCTGTCCATAAGCAGCAGCAACAGAAAAATAACTGAATCTTCAGGACAAATACTGGGTGACTCAGATTAGAAGCTTCCAGCAGTAAAGTTAACACCAAGCATGGATTTAATGCTATTTGCAAACTGCCTTATAAGCTTTGAAAAACCAAACTCGCAACACTCAAAGAATATGGTAATCCTCATTTTAAAAAGCGAAAGAGGCCTCAGAAGTGACAGACATCCACACGTAAATTCATCCACAATAGCATATTCAAAAAAAGAGAACATTTTTACCCTTATAGGGTAGGATAAATGCAGAAAGTTAAAGATAACGCTTTTTGCAAATCAGAGCAGGAGACATTAGTCTCTTTTTTCTACGTGGAAGCAACTCCACAAAGAAACAGTCCAAGTCACCAGTGTGGTAACAACTCCACTTCTGAACATAAATTTAAACCCAAGTTGGAAATGCAAGTAATTCAGAAATTACTAAAAAATTACTCAAGAGTTCTTTTAGGAGTAAAAACCATAACCTTCCTTTGTGCTGCACAATCCACGTCAACAGCAGACTGGGTGAGCCATTAGCAGGTCTACAGCAGCAGAGCTACAGTCTCCTTCGGGAAAAAAAAACCCCAAGCCTGAAGAGAGTATTTCTACAAGCCTTCTCAGAGGTGTGTATGTGGGGAAATAACCTTGAGACTAACAAAGAGCCCAAAGAGCACACACCTAAGACAATGTCTTTGAAGGGTGATAACCTTGCACCAAACACAATCCTGGGAAGTTCGCTCACTGCTACTGTACCACTATGCTGCATTCAGGGAGAACACAGTTATATATGCTCACTCAGGGGCTGTGATAAAAACCATTATGTGTAAGTCAGTCAGTCATCTGATAAATAATTAGAACTTCTAAATTAGTACTGTTTGTTAGGGAACATCTTATACTACATTCTGAGCCTTTCTAAAAGCCACTAAAAAAAAAAAAACACCACCAATGACCGCTTATCATCTGTATTTGCTAAACAAAGCCAACAACTTCTGTATTTTTTTAAAACATCTTACATGATGTACAAGGCTGCTGCTTATTCCAACAGCAATATAGTTAATTTTGACAAAGCAAACCAAGGCAGTGTTAAAGTAAAGAAAATCCCTACAATAAAACAATGAACTAAAAACATTTCACTTCAATGTTCAAAGTCTAGGACAGCAGTCTGCTGATACATTTGTTCCAAGACCCAGATGCCGAGTACGGAGTCTTAAACTAGTTTATACACGTTTTATCCTTGACTTGTAAATTGCTACTGCATGCAGTATTTAAGCAGCTTAAACAAGTGAATTCACAGTAGTAAGATATAATGCCTGCTCCACCTGTTTCAGTACTATGTACTATATACATTCTATGTAGTGAACTGGAATTAAACTATTATTTATGTGCTATAGTTAGCTATTAAAATGCTTTTCCTTGATTCAGAGATTTATCAGTATCTTTTTCTTCTACCTAAAAATTAATTTCTTAAATTGCATGTCAGTGAGATGCCCCATGAAATAGTATGTGTGAGTGAACAAACAATACCCTTTTGGGCATTTAGACATGTGGAATACATGTCTAAAACCTGGCAGATCCCCAACCACTGAGGAAACTTTACTGAAACTTCATTCCTTCTTCCTCATCACCTTTAAGTCAGGCTCAGTAGGGAGAGAGCTCCCCAGTACTCTGCCTTTGCTACAAAGGGTGTTATCTTAAGGACTAGAAAGAAGTTCTGACATCATCTGCTATTTCCTTAAACCAGTGGAATTCCACCACCACTGAGTGAAAACAAACAAACAAACAAACAAACAAAAACAACCAAAAAACCCACCCACCCACAGAAAACCCTGCAATGATTATCACTAGCATGTTCTGCTCTTCCAGGCTTCAGATGTTTACTCTTACTAAAGAAAGGGAGGTGGAAGTTCTCCTACAATTCAGAAAATACCTATGCAGCTTCCAAGTTCTCTTCTGCCTATACTTTGAAGTCATCTGCATGAGCCAGCTTGATTCCATAAGCTACAAAGCTACATTACTGATGCAAAGGACCTGAATGATAAATAACGCCTCCTATTTTGGGACTGACTCTGCACTAACACTGCTTCTGGACCAGAGGTGGAATATAGAGTCTGTTAATTAGCACAACTATACAGCCTCCAAATTGGAGCTGCCTCACATCTATTCAGCCTCCAGGACAGGCAAGAGTAAGAAGTCTTACATGTTTTTCCTAACTGGAACCACATTTAACAGCCAAGCACCATTTTTCAACTACCACTACAGTGTTGTGTAACTTCTAAAGACACAGACTTATTTGTGTTGAAATGAGATTCAAACTAATGGAAAAGGTATTAATTTCTTCTACAGGGCATTCAGGTTTTTTCCTATTCTGTTCCCCCAACTCCCACCAAACATTTACCTACCTTCATGTAGCTCTGCTCCCCTTCTCACAAATGGACATACAGACATGTATTTTCCATGTATGTAAACAAGCCTGAGTTTTTTCACTCCCTTGATCCGTTCATGATTTATGTATTAACATTAAAATATAGCTTATTCATCTTCCAGTGAAATCATAGCTGTCTGTATTTTCTCCAAGCCTAGTTTTCAAAATATCCAGGTGACACCAAGTGGTTAGTTGTTGTATTGCTGTCTGTTCAGGACTACTGTATGCAGTACCAACCAAGTATTCTGTTATGTCAAACTAAATGCAGAAATACATATCACCCAAAAAAAAAGCCAACAGAGTGCTTTAGATCATTAATCACAACAGTCCAATTTAAAAATTCTATCAAAGCAGCCCTTTCTCATTCACTTATGTTAGTCTGCTTATATGCTTTAAAAAGAAAAAAAAACAAACCTACACATCAAAAATTAAGTGTGCAAAAAAAAAAGTTTCTGTAAGAGAAGTTACTTACCAGAAGGAATTTTTCCCTGTGTCATCTGTGTACACGCATGCTTATAGTAAGTTGCTTCCAAGAAGAAACACACTCAAACTTTTCTCAAAAATCAATGCTAATTATAAAAAAAAACCGAACCAAACAAAAAAATCCAACACCACAACACATCCATACAGCATCATTCTACATGCCAAATCATACAACAAACATCAGTGAGAAGGGGGGATCATAGTCATAGATGGGCTGGAAGGGACCTTTAAAGGTCATCTAGTCCAACCCCCCCTGCAGTGAGCAGGGATCCTCTGTCACACCTAGCAACTCTTCTTTAGCTTCAGGTGTTTCTTTCAACATAGTGCATATATTAAGTTGGAATAAAACCAACTTTTGTAGATTAGAGAGGGAAAATACATTTCTAGACTCCTTAGGGCTTTCTGTTTCAGTATCATGACAATGCCAACATCAAAAAGAGGGTTTTTAGCAACATGACAGAAGTCTATCTTTCAAAAGTCAGCCATGTGTGTTCACTTTGAAATAGGGCTCTGCATGCCCTGCGTGGGGCCAAATCCTCAGAAACAAGAATGCACAGAAGCCATCAAAAGAAAAAAGTTTTATAGTTCAAAGATAACAAGACAGCATTACCAGGCTATTCGGTAGACAGCTTTTAAAAATCAAACCTGGGATTTGGGAATTCTGCTAAGTAAGAATTCACATTAATTGTGATCATATGGCACACTGAAGTGCTAAAAAGCTTTAGAACAATGTTAATTTAAATTCACTTTAAAAAGTTTTCCCTATAGGACTTGTAACTATAATTGAAAAGACAAAAATCTCAACACATACTTTTTTTTTTTTTAAACTTGTTTGCATTCTGGATTTGACCACAGCTGTGAATAACTATTCTTACTCCAATTTTTTTTTAATTGTTCTGGTGATTCTTTCCAAAAGTAGTACAGGAGAGAAAATATTATCTTCAGGTAATGCCATCTGTAAGCCACAAAATGGGCAGGTATGCATCATGAAGCACATAACCTGAAGCTATCTTCATTCTTCTTTAAAGGAGAGTCTCACACCACTATTGCGAGTTTAGCATCCTTTTTATTTTTTGTGTTCAGGATTACATGGGTTATGAAGGTATGGCCCTAACTTTCATAGCTAGAAAAAAATGGAAACAGACACTCAACCAGTAAACTGCCATCCACAGCGTGTACAAACCCAGGTACAGACACTTAGCCATTTTATTATTAAAAATAAATAATTCCCATCACTTTTGACCATCTGAAAGTATCACCTTCTGGAGATGACCTACTAATGCAAACCAAACATCACTGCTAACATGGAGACAATGAATAAGGCTTTGTGTTTTAGAGATTCTTTTTCCTCTAAGACCTCTTGGGGGTGTAAAATCAAAACCAAGAAGCAAGATTCTAAGCAAGACGAAAAAGCCTGTTTACTTCTCAGTCACGCATTGCAAAAAAGGCATCATAGTCAAACCTGTCAAGCTACAAACTCATCCAAAAGAAAAAAAAAATCTCAGCACAGCCCAAGTATTAAGAGACTTCCAGAACAAGTGCTAAGTAGCAGTGGGAGGAAGAGAAGGATGGCAGAACTATTTTAACCATTTGTTAACAGCAATTGCTTTTCCAATCCACCAAAACTAGAACAGGTGAGAAAGAGAAGAAAAATAAAAGAAAGAGGCAAACAGAGGTGAACAGAAAAGTCTTTCTTAAAGCATTTCTCAGAAACAGAGACAGTCATTAGGGAAGTGATTGTGCCCCTGTACTTGGCACTGGTGAGGCCGCACCTCGAATACTGCATTCAGTTTTGGGACCCTCACTACAAGAAGGACGTTGAGGTGCTTCAACGTGTCCAGAGAAGGGCAACGAAGCCAGCGATGGGTCTGGAGAACAAGTCTTACAAGGAACGACTGAGGGAACTGGGGTTGTTCAGTCTGGAGAAGAGGAGGCTGAGGGGAGACCTTATCACTCTCTACAACTACCTCAAAGGGGGTTGTGGTGAGGTGGGTGTTGGTCTCTTCTCCCAAATAACTAGCGATAGAACAAGAGGGAATGGTCTCAAGTTGAATCAGGGGAGGTTTAGACTAGGTATTAGGAAAATTTTCTTTACAGAGAGAGGTCAAACATTGGACCAGGCTGCCCAGGGAGGTAGTGGAGTCACCATCACTGGAAGTATTCAGAAAACATACGGATGTGGCACTTCGGGACATGATTTAGTGGGCATGGTGGTGTTGGGTTGATGGTTGGATTTGATGATCTTGGAGGTCTTCCCCAACCTTAATGATTCTGTGATTCATCAGTAAAATAGGACTCCACTTACCCTTTCAGTTACTATTTCTGCTTCCATTTCCCTGAAAATTTAGTTTCATTGGACCAAAATTATGAAGTAAAAGCATTTTAAGAAGCACTTCTTTATCTGTTCTCACTTCTCCTCCTTACATTCCTAAAGCAGAATCAAGCTTAAAATCTTGTGGATGCAGACCTCAGCCCTGTATGCACACACAGCTAATCAGAAAAGGATTATTTACTGTATTGTACGATCTCATTGTGCTTCTATCCAGAGCTGTGCTATACAGGATCACCAGTCTGACGCCTCAGACGCTGCCTGGCCCACACACAGTAGGCACTATCCACAGAGAATGCCACTCCTTTCAAACCTGCATGTCCATGGCTTAAGAAGGCTGATATTCTAAACTAGACTGTGAAAAAACACAGCAGTCTCTTAAAAGAAAATAATAGTAATTGAAGTATAGCCTGCTTGAACCTCCTAGATATTATACGAAACTTGGAAAGAACTTGCCTACCAACACTCCGAAACAACAGAATGCTCCCTCCCAAACAACTCTGGTATTGTTCCAATTCTGAATTAAAAAAAACAAAACAAACAAGAAAACCCCCACAACCCAAAATACACCATCCTTCTACACACAATTAGACAAGAAGCTAGTTTGTTTTATCTGAACAAGCCTACCACCTCCAATGTAATTCTTCACAGAAAGAATTGTACACAAAAAGAAAAAAACCACACCAAACCAACCTCTGGCTCTAGGATTCATTAGAAACATTTTTTTGTAATGCCAGAAAAATACCTATGTTGTTCTACAAAAGACAGCAAGAATTCATTTCATGATAAGCATCTACTGATATAGTCATGCTGAAAGAAACCATGCAACAAATACACAACAACATTACTCAGCAGGTCAGAGAAATTATATGATGGTTCGTAATACTTGCAAAATTATAAAGATCAGTCCTATCCCACCTTAAAGTACACCGGGATGTAAAGGCCAGAAAAAGAGCTAACTAAGCACAAGAGAAACTGTTCAAAAGAACAAGTGGAATAAATTAACATAGCTTTGCCTGGAACTATGAGGAGTTTTCAAACCATAGTGGTACGGCTCCATAACAGCCTATCAATCTCAATACCAAAGAGCCAAAACTGTGATTTCTCCGAGGATAGAGTTTGGTCAGATAATGACTACAATTTCTAATGAAACAACCTGGCACTAGAAATCAGTTCTGTGTTCTGAATGCTGTGTGATGAGTGTTCTGAGAAATGCTGGGCAGGAACTAGATGGCAAGTATTAATGTTTTCTATTATTTACGCATTTCGCTTTATAGAGCAACAGGGATAACACTGTCAGAATTTCAGTGATCTGTTGTCTTAGTTATGAATAGATTTTACATAGCTTTTTATAATATAAAAACTTCCCTTTTCTAGTAGTTGCATTCTAAAGAAATAGAATATATATAAATGAAGATGCTAGACTTAAAGTCATTAAGAATAACTATATCCCTATTTTCCTCACATTTATTGTTTTTTAAAAAAAAAAAAAACAAACACACCAAATGACAGCATTCTTTACCCAAAAATAATACATGTAGAGCCATGTAATGATATTCTTCTATAGCCTTAAGAATATTTATAAAGAGGAATCAAAAAGCTTCCCAAATCTATTTATTTATCTGAATACGGATCTACCATTTCTGTTTTCCCTACTGATAATAAGTCAAGAACACAGACAGCCTTTCAAATAAATTTTCAGCACTGTCCCTTAACACGTCACCTAGTTCTTCCTTATAAATCATTATGGTAGATAAACAAGCAAAAATGACCCTAGCACTGCACTGTATAGATGTTTACACAGCGTTTCTTCACTGCTCTCACCTGATAGTCTAGACTCAGCTGACTATACAAGAAACAATTCTTCCGTAGACTAACATATACTTTATAAAGATAACACACACAAGCCAAGATACATACACAAAGAATAATTTTAAAGTAACTTTTCTAGCTTCAGTTCTTCAGAACCAATTGAAAGCATTTATGCTTACCTAGACGTAGAAGTGTGAACTGTGCTGCCAATTCCTTTGCACCTTCTACTGTTGTAGAGAGTTTGTCTGGCATGAAATAACTCTGGGAACCATCTGCAATACTAGGAATAAATACCTTGTACACCAAAAGTATTTTCCCATCCTGACTTGTGGTTGAATACAAGTAGTATTCTGGCGGCGCCCAGTTATTTTTATTGCAAAAATAATCCAGATGCATTGCTGCAGAACTGAAGTGACTGGATTTTAAAGAATACATGCTAATTGGAGTAAGCTTTATTCCTGGAAAAAATGGGTATGTACATCTTTCAACTTCAGGGGGGCCCGGACTGTGCTGACCATTAAGACGAACTGAAAGACTTGCTAGTTTCCCTAAGGATTTCTGATGACCGTCTTCTTTGTTGGGAAACCCCAAGAGATTTTCAGAACCGGGACTTATCTGACCATTAAAATGTTGCTTCCAAGTACTTTCTTTGTTAACTGGCTTTGCCAGTGTTACCTCAATACTAGCTCCATCAATGCACTTCCCATTCATTACAGACATAGCAGCAACTGCATCTTCTCGGTGGAAAAAATGAACAAAGGCATAGTCTCTCAGCTTCTTTACACGTTCAACTACTCCTGGCTTGAACTTGTTGAATTCAGCTTTAATTGTGTCCTCTGTAGTAGATATCATTAAATTTCTTACATATAGTACTTTAACTCTCTGCATTGTTTCTTCATCAACTTCCTTCTCAGGGTCTGCCCAGTCTACTTGAATAGTATGACCCCAGAGCTGGAATGTTCCTACAGCAAAGAAGCATTACATCAATCAGAAATAAGCAAAGGAAAATAAAATCATTCTTATCAACTACATCTACAAAAAGCAAACATGATGCATGCCACATGAAATTGGTTTTTGTTGCCTGCATTTACTTAAGCAAAATAATAATTTCAAGGAGCAATATTTTACGTAAATAAAATAAGACCCTGCAAAAATTCAAAACGTTCTATCTGTACCCTTTGGGTTCATTAAGCACCATATGCCATCAAAACACAGACTTCATGATTTTGTGACATGCATATACACATGTATATAAAGCAGCCATAAGCAATGTATTATTTTACATGTTAGTAAACACAGCCTATTCAATACTATCACCACTTTAAAAAAGTAAGGTGAACGCCTAGAAAAAGTCATGTAAATGTATATGCACTAGCACAAGCCTTACTCTATGTTGCAGCAGAAACCAAAAACAAACTAAAAAAAAACCCCATCTTGTTACTCATTTCAAGCCAACGTTTCGCATATCACACAACTAGTTCAGTGATCTGCCCATATTTCTCCCGTTACTTTGCAAGGCCTATGTAAGTCTTGGGTAATACTCCTTCCTAACACTTGTCAGCAACTAACGCAAGACTTGCCTATATCTTTGCCTTAATAAATACAGTTTTGTCATTCATTTCAGCAAGGCCAATACCGTATTATCTTGTTTCAATGACTTTGCTTCTCCAACTATATCGTTTCATTTCCTCCCTCCTCCTCCTTCATTTCCTCCTTCATTTAATTTCTCTTCCTTTCTCTTCTCAAATTTACCTTTTTAACTGTATCTTTACCTGTTCCCTCCTCTTTCAGTATATTTAATCCCTTCTACTTTCCCTCCCTCAAAATGAATAGGATAAGGTGCAAAGAAAAAGTAGTCTTCTACTTGTTAAACTCTCAAAATTATTTTCTGGTAAGATTAAAAACCAACTTTCAAACACTTTTAACATATGATACATCAATACTATCACTGATGACATTTCAAAGAAAACAATGGACACATTCCAAGCATTGTATTTTTTAAGCTCAGCTTTAAGGAACTCATGTGCTGAGATTAGACATGCAAATGAAAACTGGATGTGTGCCCAAGTAAATAACCATCCTGGTGTAAATTACAGTAACTTGTGTTTATAAAAAAGATGTCTGCTCTTTCATTCTCAGAACTGCTTAAATTTAAGCTTAAAAAAAAATTGAAACAAAACAAAAATACAACAAAAAAAACGAATAAAAAACCTTGATCCATGAACAGTGCCCCCTCCCTCCCGCAAGTCCTCTTTAAATAAAGGCACTACTGCAGTTCTGTAACTCTCAAAATACCTCAAAGGAAGGAAAACAGGGATGATCCACCAACCCACACCCCGCAAAATGGTGACAGATACTCCCCCAAATAATTTAATTGCAAATAGGTTTACCTGGGATTAGCCGCCTTCTAGCCATGGCAGCTGCTCTGTGAGATTCATATTCTACAAAAGCAAAGCCACGATTTTTAGTTTTATCAGTGGCATTTGGGTAAACAATGACATCCACCACTCCTTCTGTGACTTTTTTCATTTCATTCAGTATTTCTTCTTTCTTCTTTTCTTTTGGAATTGCTCCGATAAATAGTCTGCAGTTGTCCAAGCTCACACAGACACCAATAAATTTCCCTGGACGAATTTCGTAATTATTAAGAATCTTGATGGCTAGCTGGGCTTCCTCTTTAGTAGTATACATCACAAAAGCATAGCCTCGATTCTCACCACTGAATTCCATCATCAGTCTGAACTCATAGATCTTCCCAGCTCTCTCGAAAACAGGAACTAATTCATCTTCATACATATCACGAGGGATCTTACCCACAAAGACTTCACATCCACGAGGTGGTGGAGGACCTTCCCAACCTTAAAATAAATTGTCCAACAACAATCTTAGTACAATGCCAGATAGGCACACTTCCCTCCCCCATAATTTGCAGGTGGGAGTTATTTATTTATTTTTCATCTCAGTGTAAAACATATTCTCATCCATTATTTAATTCTTATTTTTATGGTTAAATAAAAAATTGCCATAAGCCCACAATTAGTATTTCTTTTAATTCCATCTTCTATTTTCTTCGGGAAGCTGTATGACAACCCACTGAACCTCGCATTATTTAAAACACAGGTAGGTTTGCTCTAAGACTCTACATTTCAGTCACTTTTTGCCCCTTAAAATTGTATGTCAGTTATTAGTACAACTGATAGGTGATAACTGAGAAAGAACTTAAGTTGTATTTTCTACTCTAATGTTTTAAAGTGGCAAATGTTTCTCTGCACTTCTCAATCATATTCTAAGAAATTTTGGTCAGGGTCCCCAGTGCAGTATTTTTTTTTTTTCTTCTTTGACATCATTCAAAAGGTCCAAACATTTTGCTTCCACCTTCTCCATTCATCCACTAAAATAGGACTCCCTAAGGAAGGTAGGCTATGGAGCCATCCTTTCTTCAAGGGCCAAAATGACCAAACACTTTTCCACTAAAAAAGACCACAGTTTTCATGGGCTGGAGCTGGTTGGTAAGGAAAAAATGGAACAAAAGTCCCTAGTTCACAGCTGAAAGTTAAAAGAAGATTCACGCTTCTGTCCTTAAGCCAAGGACATTCATACACTCTTTTATATCTCTTCCATACATGCTGAAAGGCATGTTCAACATATAATGTAAAAATGTATATGTACTTTTAAACATATGGAGTTATGGTCTGCAAATATGGCATTCCATTTTGCCAAAATATGCATTTTTTTCTAAAAAAAGTTTAATTGGTTTTTGTTTGTTTTAAACAATCAGACAAACTAATCAGGCAGAAGCTTCAAGGGCAGACAAACAGTTGAGTGATAACGAAAAAAGCTTTTTCTATAGCTTTGACAAGAAAGGTTCTCCACAGGAGAGAAAGCAAGGCATACAAAGCTGGTAGAAAAAAATAACACAAAATCTAGTAAGTACTAGTATGACATGACAACACATAAGAAGGCAAGGCCAAAAAAAATTACCTTTGACAAGTATAAACAAGAAGGTAATTAAGTATTTTACTTTGGCTTGAAGTTCAAAATAAATTATATTTAGGTGATTTTGTAATTAACGTAAAACTTTTTCCTTCAGTAAGTATCATCAAAGAGCATGTAATGTAGTCAAGAAAAAAAATTTTAACAGAAGTGGGAAATTTTTGCCTTCTCACAGAATAAATTTTCATCTATAAGCTGTACACTAAGAACTACAGGGTACACAGTGAAGCTACCAAGGCATTGGAACTGACATGCATTTGGAGCCATGCTGCCGTAGCTTATGCAGGGAAAAGTTTGTCTCCGTTCCACACAGCATTCAACATCTTTATAGACATTTATGACCACTTCAGCTGAGGTCTGACAGGACATGGCAAGTAACACAGTTTGCAAGCTACCACTGCCATCACTCACATCATGCCAGTCAGCTGCCTACGTCAAAAAGCATAAACCAACAGTGCACCATTTAGGAGCTCCAAAGACAAAAGCAACTGCACATCCTAATCAGGAAAAAAAGGGAGAAGGCTATGCTTGATTGTGTAGGGCAGACATGAAAGTTCGTCAACATTCATTTATTGACTAGACAAACTTTTACCATCATCCTCAGCCTGGTAACAGTGATTCTCAGTAAGTAAAAGCCATCTACCACTCAAAAAGCCCCCCTTCTAATTTTAAAGCTGCATACTAACTTAGCATTACAGCACATTACTGCCAACTGGGCGTAAGTTATGACTCCTGACTTAAAGCAAACCTGGTCTGTGACACATTTGCCATTGAGCAACATGTATTTAATAGAGCAAACATGGGAACAGTTAACAAAAAGCACCATTCCTCAAGTAGTTATCAAGTAATTCTAATGACTTACATACCTAATGATGTCATTGTATCTGCAACAATCTAAGCAGAGGACCCAAACAAAGCAATGAAAATTCACTTTCTTAACCCCTCCCCCCACCCGATATGTTTTCCAGGAGTGGCATAAGCTGAACAAGAACTGTTCTGCTGCCAACCGAGGTGGGAAAAAATATGTAATTTTTAAGGGTAAATTTGAGACAGATCAGCTGCTTGCTCTGGATAACATGCCAGTCAGATAAACAAGATGGTAACAGGAAAACAGAGCTGACAGTGAGACTATCTCCTTTAGCAGCAACACAAGTGTATAGAAACCAGATCTTAAGCAAAATTCACAGTGAAACTCTACATTTACAAACAGTTATTGTAATTTCTTACAAGCCATCTCAAATATTCAAGTCTTATCTGGCCTAGAAAATCATATATAGTAACTTAGGGTAATTTCCACCCTAAGCAAGTATGAAAATACATGAAGATTTAAAGGAGAGGTATATTAATGTCAATGAACAGATTTATGGAAAATATATCTTGTCATACACATCTAGTTTCAGAAAAGATTAACAAATTTCATTAATAAAAGTAACTTTGCCAAACAAATATACTTAATACTGCCAAATGTTCTAATTAAAAAATCATAATTATAATGTAAAAAATGTATTACATAATTTAATAAGAGGCTGAGCCCTCAGGAATTAGTCAGTGATTCCCTGCAGTTCTCTTTCCAGCATCATTTTCAAAATACTTTCACAGGGCTTCCTATAGGCTAGTAAAAGTATGTACATAATTTTAGACAGGAAAAACTGCCAAAGAGAAATAATTTTGATGCATCTGTATCTTATATAGCAATGAGCAATACAGTTTATGCTTACAAGCACAACTTATAAAGATATGGGACCACAGGTCACAAGTAAAAATGAACTGAAGCAGCAGCACAAAGAATTTTCCTTCTTTCTGCTTGTGTAAGAGCATAATATGACTCAAAAAGAAGAGTTACTGTATCCAGGTGATACAACCAGGACTAATGGCAAAATTCTTGTACATTGCTGATGTCAATAATGACCCTGGAAAAATTACTCAAAATAATATAAATGAATCCAATGCCTTAAATCTTTATGAAGCCTTTCATCAGAATAACAAGAAATGTTAAAATAAAGGTAACCGACACAGAGTTATTACAGAGAATTACAGGTAGTACGTATTTCATCAAGAAAAATGGAAAAAACAATTTCTGACCAGATATAAAGCCCAAATTCATCAGGAAAGATGCTAACCATTTCAACAAGCTAAGTGTAGGCATAGATAAGCCAACCTTTTACAGTTCTCAAAATCAAACCCAGATACTTTTCTGAAAATGTGTCTTAGCCAAAAAGAGGCATCAGGCTCAACACAATCATAACTAGACAGAAAGTAAATATGTTAAGATACACAAAAGATTAAGCTAAATCATCTAGAAGCCACTTATTTTCTTAACGTATTCTTGAGAAGAACAAAACAACACTTTGGTAGGAGGAAAAAAAACCCCAACAAATTTTAACTCTTGAATAGGGGAAAATTACAAAAAAAGGTAATTAGGAAAAAAATTATATATATACTGAACTATTCCTCCTCCTTTGTTCACGTCTTCACTCAAAATAACATCAAATTCAATCATTTGGGTTTTATCCATTTATTTCACAAACTCTCAGCTTCTGCAGCACGAGATAAACCCACTAGTTTCCAGCATTCGTATAAGCATGGATTAAAGTTGAACTATCTTGCAACATATTCAAAGAAAAACACCCTTTACTAGTCCTACTTAAAACTCAGTCATTTAAATTTATTTTGGAAAGCAAATTTAAAGTGCTGAACAAAGGCTTTTCCTGGCACTACCTGTGAGCATTACTCGTTTTCTATAAATTAAATCTCCAGCAGCACTTTCAGCAAAAGTATTTTAGCCGGGGATAGGGCTATTTTAAGAGATTTATTATTGCTAAGTTAGTTAATCATAGTAGCAGAAATGTTTTTGAAATAGCATTTAATACACAAGAACTTAAGTCTTCAAATGCAGTAACATCCTGAAAAGCGTTTACTAAATCCAACAGCCACCATTTTCAAATTCCAATGTACATATTCTATATACTGTAGGACTTAATTCTACTTCCTTTTTTTTTTTGGTCACTGACTTCAGTGGAAATATAATTGGGCATATAGAAAAACATTTTAATGACAAAGTTCGTTTTCACTGCAGCAGTAACTTTCCAGTTCAAATGCATAAGTCTCCTGTTTGCACCATGAAAGTAAATCCCAAACCACCATAAATTAACCAAGCAGATGACTGTAGTTTTTACAGCATCAAAACAATCTCTGTTATTCTCTGGGATTTTTATCAGCTGTTACTTTCTGTTTACACATGAACACATACTCAACAATTTGTTTTCCAGTGTATTAAGTGAAAGAACAGTAACACACGAAAAATAAAATCTGACTGTTGTACTTCACTGTTAAAAAACACATCAATGAATGATAAAAGCTCCAGAAGCTCAGCATTTATCAATTTTTCTTCTCAGAATGAAGGTTGGGGGGTGGGTTATATTGGATATAGAGAACAGATGAGTCAACGCTGAAAACAAAATGAGTTAGATTATCTTCACTGGTGCTATCTCAAAGAACAGAGGTTTGTTTAAAAAAATAAAACCACCACACAAAAACACCTTTGGCCAATGCAAGTGCTAAGACAAGAAATAAAGTAGGTTGTGCCTGCTACCACCAATTCTTTTTTTCCCTCCTGTGCCACTAAACGTTTTCAAGCGTGTTCTCAGTCATATGGAACATGCTCAGTATTTTCAGCTCCACATGCTACCTGTCAACTTTAGCTGATTTTAAAGCAGTGACTTCTTAAATCTTCCAAGAGCAAATGTGCAACAAAGTCTAGCACTAGAGATCTTAAACTACTGGAAACTGTAAAGCATATCAGGACCCTGTATGTGTTGTGTTTCTTACTTTCCCTAAGCATCTACTACTGGTCACTGTCAGGGTACAGGACGTGGGGTTACCCAAATTTTCAGTCTGACTCAATATAGCTCTCCTTACAGAAAATGAACTCCAATTTTGTAATCTCAAAAGAAACACTTACCTGGTGGAGGACCACCAAATTTTCTTTGCCCATTTTCTTGAACCATGCTGTATCCAGTCTTCTCCATCAGGGCCAGTAAAGCAGCCTCATTCTGAGTGCTACTTCGGATTCTGCCGCATCCATTTGCTGCAGTTTTATTTTCCTCATGCATATCTGCAATAGCTTCAACAGAACATCGCAGATATTTCAATTCAATGTCATATGTATACAGAAGCTACCAAAGCACAGAAAAACAGCTTATGCTATACTTGCCTATGTCAAGTGACTTTGTTTAGCATAAGGCTTCAATCCTGCATCCAACTACAATCATCTATTATATTTGCTTTCAAAACATTGTTCTGTGGCTGTGATAATCTTGAACTTTAACCAGCAACTATATATTCTATATTCAAACTTTTGTAAGTGGTATCATGACTAGTTTCCAAGTATGCTGCCCTTCAAGTAGAATAATGAATTTTTTCATAAATCATCTTATCACAGTTGTGTAGACACCTATATGCTACTCAAAGCAACAAGTTCCACTTTCTTATTACTACATTTTATAGAAATACCAGTGATTTTAAAACTGGGTTTTAGTACAAAAGTACTTAAAATACATTAATCCATGCCTAATTAATATAAACATTTGAAAAATTAATGAATACATTTAATTAAAATCAATACATAATAAAACTAGGCAGAAGTGTCATGGGGCAAAGGCAAAACTAAGGGGTTGAAATAATCCCACCTCTGGGGTCCTTATTTTCATTACTTTACTCATTTTCACAATTTCCAAAACTAAAAAGTTTATCAATATGGTTGTTGCTGCTCTATCCACTACCTCCCTAGCATGTCAAGGCCTCTTTAGGTTTCTGTCATCCAGGTGATAGGAAACAATCACAACAAGGAATCCATTTGGCAATCACCAACTTTAAAGTTAATTTTTTTTAGGGGCTTGACTAGTAAAGTCAGATTTTTTTTTCTGTCTCTTTTTCCTTCCCCAATTTATGTCTTCTTTCCCCAAGATTTTCTACCTTAAGGTCTGCAATACTTAAACCAGTAATCTTCAACACTTCAATCCTTTGCCCAAATGGTATGTCCAAGTGCTATGCCACTCATTCTCCAAAAGAAATGCTGCCAATAAAACCACCACCAGAAAAATAAGCTACAACTCCTGTTTGTTCTTTCATGTCCCTTATATTTTCAGCTTGCTTTGTCTTCAGAATCAGGCTCCAATGAATAATGTCCTGAGACATCAGCAGCTTATTTTTTCCAAGAAAAAGTTAAAACCAGCTTAAATTTCATACAAATATTTCTTGTCAACCCACTATTGTTTGCTGAACAATGAGCCTTCCTAGTTAAGGCCTCAACTAATAAACTATCTGGAAAGCAGAGAATAAAGGTAACTAAATCAAGGACAGTAAAGAGTGCATAAGCATTCACATGTCTGCCTCTTCATTAGACTTCCACTACTCAAGGTCCCAAGAAACCAACTGTCTCAAGCACTGCTGTAAACTCAAAACTAGTTGCACTCAAAACCAGTTACAACCGCATCCTTTTTCGACAGTCTGAAGCTAAAGCTACCTTCTCCTCTTCAGCTTGTCACTTCTGGTGCTTTTGTACTAACTAAACTATTACTTTTAGCTTGATTATCCAAAATGAGCACCATTATCTACACAGATTATTTATTTTACCTGACAGCTGACTATGTAACTCCCTACCACCAGCAGAAACAAGAATCAGTAAAAATAAAACCATACTAGTTCATGTACCAAATATTATCCCACCCATCTTTATATATAAAGGTTTCCAGCTGACCACTTGTCACAGTAAGCAAGCTTTTGCCTCCATACACAAAACATTAACCATCTCCATAGTTGCTAGTCCTTTTATTCTTCACTTACACGTACCACTGAAAACTACCCCAGTATCTCAAATTAAAATGATTTCACATAAATTGAAGTTTTTCAAAAGATGAGACACTATATTTATGGAGTGATTAAGCCCCTTCTACTGCCACATTTATGCATGTTATGCAATGGTACTACTGTCCAGAGATGGACTTCCTGCCCCCCCAACAGCTGAGTCATTTCAAATGTGCTTTGAATCAAAGTAATAATGAAACTATTTTTCAGTGCACTCTTTTCACAACAGTCTTCATATGACATTATTAACAGACTCTATACATCCCTGAATTAGAATAATGACAGCATAAACACAACTGCCGTTTTTTCCATCCTAGAAAAAGACTTTTGGTGGAGATATATATGTTTTGTCTTTTCTATCAAGCTGGTACTCATTTTGGGCCAGGAATTCATGCAAGCAACCACTCTGGAGAAGTTTATACGACACTCATCGCTGGTCATTAAAAAAGCCAAGCTCCAAACAACTCCTGGGTTCATCAAAATGAGATTCCAGAAAGGAAAAGTAGAGCACAAAAAAAAAAAAAAAAAATTCATGACAGGCAACAGCAGTAACAGCACGACTCTTTATCAGCTACATATGGTGTCCCATCTCCTCTCAGCAAGCAATTACATTTACTGTGTTTCACAGCCTAGAAGCTGCATGGCAATACCATCATCAGGAAATCTCTTGGCAGTTTCAGGCCTCAGAAGATGTGGAATTAGACAACAAAAAAATTGGGGCAAAAGAGAGGTAAATTAATTTTCCCTTTGTCCCACTGAGGTCAAACATCCAGCCAAGAAGAACCTTATCTGTAAGAGCAGCAAGGGCACACCAGATAAAAATCGTGGAAGTTGATGAGGGTGCCCACAGCGCTCCCAGAGACGTAAAGAAGCACTGAAGAATTAGGACAAGAGACTTGTGGAAGAAGCAAGCGGACCACGGCCAGGCCCGAGGGCAAAAACGCCAGCTGAGGCGGCAAGACAGCATGCGGTACAGGGAGAGAAAAAGAGAGAAAAACAGCAGTCCCGGAAATGCCCTGCCCTACTCTCACCGACTTGCACGTTGAGGGCGGCCGCCGCGGCCTCTTCTCCTCACGGCCCCTTCTCCACACACGCTCGTCCCTCACGCCGCCTGCGCCTTGCCCCACAGCACAGCAAAGGCCCGAACCCACCGCTATCCCCAGGAAGGCGAGGCCGCGACTCCCCCCTCTCCCGTGAAGAGCCCCGCGCCACACCGACAGGGCAGACCGGAGAAATAACTTGCGTCGTCCCGTCCAACCACAAGCCTCCGCCAGCCACCTCACCCGCCTGACCCCTCCACCACAGCTTTCCCTCGCTCTGCCCCCGCCTAGCCAATCACCAGGCGGACAGGGTGGGCACGGGCATAATTGACAAGCGACATCAGCCAATCGTAGCAAGGCTAAGGGCGGTGCCCGACACGCGAGCTCTTTTAAAATGGGCGACTGTTGGACGAAAGAGTAACTGCTGGTGCGCGTGGCGGGGTTCTCTGCGGTGGCGCGCTTGCGGAAGCGGTTGGAAGGTCGCGTGCTGGTGGTGGTGCCACCGCCTCAGAGACCCCTTTGAGGAAGGGCCACTGGCTGCCCGCTGCTGCTACACCCCTCCATTCCAAAAGAAGGGCTAGTTGTTAAGCTCACCGTTAACTTTACAGAACGTGGCCAGTATTTTTTGTATCTTTTGGCTTACATCTGCTCTTAAAAAGTGTATTTGGGCCTTTAGGATACGCTCTGGTGCGCGTTTGTGCCTTAGGGAGCGCTTAGTGTTGCGCAGGTCCATGCTGACCAGTAATGCCTAAGTGAAGTGGGTCTGCTTTCAATCCTGATTAGTTTAGTTAGTATTTCAATCTCTTATAAATGATCCGCATTAGATTAACAGCAGGTCCAGGCACTTTGTAAGCCAGTTGGGCTGGAGGCCTTGCAGTTTCAGCGCTGCTCCTGGACTCCCACCAAAACTCCGTAGGGGTCACAGCCATGCAGCTGCCCTGTGGCGCTTTGATGGGCCCACAGCAAATGCACCAGAGTGAGTAAAGAGTGTGGGATTAGTTTGCAAGTTCTTCAATTTGTTGTTATCAAAATGTGGTGGCCCATTTTCCCCATTTAGCAAATGAAAGTCTCTCAAGGCAGAAATACTTTCGTCACAGACTTCTCCCTTAAGAGTTACATGCTCAACTGTACCTTTTAATACAGAAATGTTAGCTTAGGGACATGCAACTTCATCTTTATTATGAGTATGTTCCAGAGCTTTTAGCAATCCAGTTTTAAATATGTACTGCCATAAAATTGTCACAACATTGTATTAGACATTTACCTATTCAAGTTTGCTTATTTTTCTTAGAAAGTTTATTATCCTTTTATTAATAATGGCATGATACACCAATGGTATTTTGCAAATTATATGTTTCCGTTTAAAAGTTCTGAGTGGCCAACATACCAAAGCTATTGCCTTCAGGATTAAATATCACCACCTTTTCATTTCAGATGTCGTTTTTTCTTCTTTTTAACCACATCTGAATCAGCCACGATGCCTCTAATAGGAATGAATTTGGGGTATATTAAGTTAAATAAAGTTTGGTGCGTTTTGACTGCGTCTCAGTGTCACTATTACCTTGGAGACTGCTCACTCCCTGGCAGAAAGCTCCATGTGTCTCAGTTGTTATTGCTGGTGGAGATGTGGTAAAAGAATACGGACAATGTCATCTAAGCGCAAAAAACAAACACCCAACTCCAGCATTTTCTTTGTGTTTCATGTAAGTGACATCTTACTGGATGGGTTACCGTGTACAGCTGTTTCTGGAGTACAAATTACAGTTTGCTGCTCTAGGATAGAGGAGCTGAACAGCTGCTCAGCTGGAAATGTTAACCTGTTCCAGCACTTAACAATGGAAGTTCTCAAGAAAAACATACAAATTTGCCATCAGGTTTTTCTCTTTATGACATGACATGACTAAAAGAGAAAATCAAAATAACTGAAAAGTATTCAATGTCTACACTATTATCTCTTACCACACATCAAAGTCAAACATAGGAACTAAAGGCTCGTTTGGTTTTCTCGATGACCCCTGCTTCTCTAAAAGAAATTAATGATCCTTTTCTTCCTGTGTTCCCACGTGCTAATTGGGTATCAGAGCTCTCACTACCCCCTTGCCCACAGGTGCTAGCTGCTTTTTTCTCTCTGACAGTCTAATTGTTCAGTATAATTAGGTTTTACTAAAAGCAACTGTTTCTAACCTGTATTTGTCTTGGATTTTGCTGTGACTCATGTCTGAGCTGAATGTTTTTATTTCTTTCCTAATAAGACAAGATTTACAGGGGAATACAATATTTGTATTCAATCAAGTAGTATATCTGATATAAAAAAGATTTCAAAAAAGATTTTGGTCTTCAAAAAAGAGTTTGCACACCTGAAAGCTTCTCATGGCTAATTCAAAACTACTTATTCACCTCAGCACTCTCTGAAACGTTGCTTTCCTTGTATTACAACAAGCAGACTCCTTGCCAAGCAAACCCTTCAGTCAGTCTCCCATTTTAAACAGTTAGGTTTAGTTACTTTTAACACAATGTGTAATTCTATCAAGTCGGGTACGATTGTAGGGGATAAGCCGCCTCTCTCCTCCTCCGGGTAGGCACTGCGCCTGGTGGATTATACCTGGTTTTAATTTCTTCCCCTTTCTCTCACGTAGTACTTGATTGCATTGTGCATTCAAAAGACGTAACTCACATCTCAGTAGCCATCGTTTGGGTAAGTGTGTTAGAAGGAGAAGGGCAATTCACATTTTAATTCCCATTTTGAGCAGTGACAACTGTTCATAGCTAAGGGACAGTCTCTCACAGTTGTAATTTCTTTCTCTCTCCCCATACGTATATAAACACCACTCATCCAAATTAATGCCATATTGTAATTCACTTATTTTTAATGAAGATTGCCCAAAGGATGGGAAAGCAGACCAGGCCCAGAAGAATGTTTGTTATTTATCAGAGTATTTAGGTTTTTACTGCTTTATTGAATCAGTACCTTAGTAGGTAACTCACATTTAAACCTGATAAATAGAAACTTATTTTAGGATTATTTTACAGGAGTTACAGCATAACTTGCAAAAAGCATTTGGCAGAAATTCTGGTTAGAAAATTACTTTGAATTGCATATAATATGCTGTTTGCCCTAAAGCTTAACAGTTCCTGTTAACACCAAGTTAGTTTCCTCACAAATGTCTCTTTGAAACTGTCATAAATCTGATGGATGAGGAATGAGTGCAGGGTCCTGCCAAGATTATGGCATTTATTCCTTTGGCTAGATTTGAAAATGTAAAAGAGGTCTTTTTCTTACACATTTTATTTTATAGCACTGCACCAGACAGTTGCTTTTCTTTTGCTTCTAAGTTATTTTAGGTAGCTGTAACAGAGAACTCCTTGATGTTTTTTAGCTTCTGTTTCATTGGAATGCTAGCAAGCCCCAGCATATATATTCCTGGAGTAGCCTACTACTGCAGTTGTAATATACTTCAATAGAAGCATAAACTTTTTTTTGTCAGTGTAAATTTTACTATGGCCTGGAGCAGGAAAAGAGGGTATGTAGCATTTCTGCACTCTGTCAGGTTTGATATGTAGGTAGTGGAAATGCTTTAAAAGGAAGCAGACATCCTTTGAAGTTTAGACAAAGGCCTCTGTAGAAAACCTAGATGTAATATGATTGTAAATCTAATTATAGTAAGCTGTCTAGAAAGACTTCATTTCAGTCAGTCAGTCCATTTTATTTTGGGTGTCATTCTGTCAGGTAGCTGCAATGCCTGTTTAGTAGGATCCTCCTAACAAGGCATCTTAGTGCCTGAAGGAAAAGACCTTTTTTCTTGAAAGGTCCTGTTTGCTCTTGTTCAGCTTTCTACCGTTAAAAAGTTGGAATCTTTTTTACTTACAAAATTACAAAATCTTATATTCCTGGGATAAGCATTTGGGTATACAGAATTGCTTGCTTTTTTTTGTAAACCACTTTCAGACACACATGTCATGCTATTTTAACATGCAGATATGCAACAAATATGAAAAAATGGATCCTGAAGCATGTCCTGTCTTCACTTAGATGAGTATGAATATCAACAATTTCACCAATGTAAGTGGACCCGAATCAACTTTAAGCCAATATTGCTGAGTGCAGAGTGATGGAAAATGTGCATAATGAAGCATATAAAATCTCTCTGCTTGTTTTTCCCCTCATTACCTCCAGAAGTATTGCTTTCTGCTCCCTCTGTATCCCTAAAAACCTGGACCCTGTGTGACAAAGCCATACCTTTAATCACTGAGCAGAACGGCTGTCTTCTGGCAAGACAACTAATCCCCGGGAGGGAAGGAGCAGATGGGACTTGCCAAAAAAAGTAACACCACAAGGGGTTGGTGGAAGAAGAGGGGCCCAGAAAGATTGGAAACAGTCCCCTCTCAGTCACTGCTCAGTTTTTTTTTCCTCTGCAAATATTGTCAGAAAATACTTGAATTTGTGGTAACTTCTGTCAAAATCTTACAGCATGGTTTCAGAGTTAGAACCAAGCAGACATCAGGCATCAAACTGTCTTTGGCTGAGCTGACCTATATGTTAACTGAAAGTTTACCAAGGAGGTTGAAGACTTTTATGTCACATTACCTTTTGAATATTTAATCATTCTGAAACTAAATGACACTGAGGGCAACAGTGGAGAACAAAATTTATTTTTTTACTTTTCCTAGGTTTAAATATTTAAAATACCTTAATGGTAGTTTGAAAAGTGGAAAAGGAGTCCGCTATTCCTTTAGATTGTTCATACTTGCCTTTGAATTCCAGCTGATCCTGAGAATCCTAAAAGGCATTGATTTATCAGGCTCACATCCTTTTTATCTATAACCCAGCTGCCATGAGCTGCTAACTAGCTTTTAAGTCCAGAAACTCTGGACTGTCAAATACAACTAAACAACTTATGATGCTTCTGTGTAATTTTCTTTATATTTTTCCTGAGGCTGTAAGAATGTAGTGGTATGCTTGAAGACACAATTAAGAAAGTCTGCAGCACTGTAACTTGTGGGTTTGTGTGTTTCTTTCATTTATATATACACATGCGTATGTTGTACACACATAGAATCCCATTACTTATCTTTGGGTTTTTTTATAGATTTCATTAAGTACAGCTAACAGAATGATTTTTAAATGCT